TCGAGTGTCCGTGACCGAGCGATTTTCGTCTGTCTGTTCATTTTCTGTCCGGGTGGTAGATTTTTCCTTCGTGCTCCCGGGCGACCGAGTGGTCTCTTCGTGAACGTTCGTTTCCTTGCCTTTGAGGGCGTTGGTAAGGTCTTTTTTGGCTGGGGTTTTGGGTGCTTGAGACGTAGAGGGTCGGATCTGTGTTATCAGGTTTGATATTCTCTTAACAAAATTTGGGTCTTTGAAAAAGGCTGAGTAGTCCGTCCTCGTAGTTGGGTTGTTTTGCTGGTCTTCCCTTTCTTCCAGCGTGTCTCGTCGGCGACTTTGGCTTGATGATGATGAAGTTGTTTTTGACATGCTGGAATAGCCCTTCCTCTAGCGCCAATTGTTGATGTCTAAAAATGACCAACAGTGTATTCGAACTGCACACTAAGATGTATGCTCTGTTCGGTCTGCACGAATAGTATTTATATGTATGATTCGGGCTAACTTGTTGGTCCGAATGCTTAGGCTATCCGTGACTTATAGAGTAATTAATGAGAGCATTTACTCATTGCATTAAATGATGTCCTCCCCTCCCTTTTATAGGAAGTTTAGGGACTTTTACATTTCCCTCTTGGGGATTTTTACATTTCCTTTTACAGGATATTTTTAGATATTAGTCATTCTGCATTTAATGCCAATTGTACTTGACAATCTATTTCCAATACCAGAGATCCGTCCTGATCGTGCCACGCGTCCCCATTTTTCCCTTGCCGTCGGATAGGAGATTTTTGTATATCTTCGCATTTAATGCGTGCAGTACGACTAGCTTTGGGTAATGATTAATCAGATCTCACTTATTCTCTCCTATCCGTTCGGCAGCGGCCCGATCCCGGAGGCATCCGGTTCCTCTTTTCCCTTACCACTATTTGCTCGGTCTATACCACCAACACATATCATTTTCAGTTGTTCCAGAGCCAAACTTGTGTGGAAAATAAGTGGTCTTAACTGGAGCAGCCTTGCACAGTGCAGACCAAATTTCAAAAATTGGTGGGGGTTAAGTGTGTTCAGCAAGTCAGAGTAGCTGCATTAAAGATAGGGCTTGCTTATCATCCTATCTACTGTGGTGGCTCTGGAAAACTCGGAATGTGTGGGTTTTCCAAAATAAAAGAATTGCTGAGAGACAGATAGCAGAAGGAGCTAGGGCTGAGTTGATTGAATTCACTGAATCTAAGAAGTCACAAGGTACCAAATATGGAAATACTCAACAACTCTCTGAAGTTCAAGTAGAGAAATTTTCCAGAAAGTTAGGACATTGGTTGATCAATGTCAGTGCCTTGCCCTCCACTTTGAACAACATTGAGCTGCAGTATGTTGCTGAGAAGGAAGGTGTACAAGTTCAAGAAGGCTAAGAAATTGTTCAGTATAATGGCTGCAGGGAAGGAAGGGAGCTGTATGCTATCAGATGGGCCATGCTGAAGGCTGTTCAGATGGATTAGAGGCATTGTCAGTTCAAGATTTCCAGTAAAAGCTTGTGCAGAAAACTCAATGATCATCTGCTGCACTTTGAAGCTTGTTGCAATGCTATAGCAGCTGATATTCTTGAACTTGTGCATCCCTTTTCTTCTGTTGATTTTGTGTGTTAATTTGCTATTTTAACTTCATGTAGCTTTTTTAGTTGTTGTGTTTATTGAGTTGTAAGGGGCTGCAGTTTGACATCCCTGTGTTTTTTCTTCTACCAGTTGGTAGTTCCAGTTGTAAAACTTCTTTGAGTTTAATGCATTTGATTTGTCGTTGAAAAAAAAAAGAAATAACAATATACAACTATGAAATGAAAAATGTGAAGAAAATTCTAATTTGACATGATAACAAATATTCAAATAAATAAAAGAAATGAAATAAAAAAAACATAAAAAACTAAATATTCGCATATCAATTATCAACCTTTAATCTTACTCTTCCTAATAAAATCAAATAACATCAATTTTATTTTTTTCAACTAAGCAATAAAAAAATGGAAAATGAATGAACAACGAAGGCATTCAAAGTTGCAAGAATCCAAACACATGCTTTTAAACTCTCTCAAATACAATTGAATAATGAAACCGCTATCCTCAAATGCTCCTACAAGCTTGGATTTTAGCGTTTGAAGGGCAAATAAGCTTGTTGAATCAACTAAAAAGTAAAAACCAAACACTTTTAATTAGCGGGTCAAAATGTCAAAAAAACTAAATGGGTCAAACAACTAAAATATGGCTTAAACGCCAATTACCAAACACCCCCATGATCCTATTGTTTGTTAGATTTAACGCTGATTAAAAGAGGTGAAAAATAAATGATAACTCTATTGCTTGTTAGACTTAAACAGACAGAACCTGTAAAATAACTCATTTACTCTGTCCCGCATCGTACGGGTACGTACTAATTTCTAATATTTCAGAGTAGTTCATATGTTTTTAAACTTGTATCATGCCTAGTAAATGTTTAGAAATTATAATATTTAATTAACTTAAATCATAAATATGTTTTAAAATTAAATGATCTTCATGTTAGTTATCATGTTATCATATGTGATTCATCCAATTAATTGTACTTTGATTTGATAAACTTTGATTTTACATTGTATAAATATATGTTTCCCTTATAGTAAAAATTACCTATCAATATTAACTATATAGCACAATTTATTTTTAATAATTACTAAAATTGAAAACTAAAACTTTCATTAGCATCTTTTTTTTTAAAAAAAAAAAATCAGTATATATATATATATATATATTTTTTTAATTATTACTCGTCCAATACAAGGATATTATACTCTACCAATTAGAATAAATTCGAAGAGGACAATATATATCTTTAAAAAGGGAAATTAACAGAAAAGGATTGAAAAGATGAATATACTCGAAAACACAAATAGGATACAAAAGAAGCCCAAAAAATAAGAACATATTATAAACTGTACTAAGATAAGATTCTATTAGCCAAATTCTCTACCTAAACCCTATGAAGCTCCAGTGTTTTATTCGGAGAATTCTTCGTGGCACAAAGTCATCAACCCATTGAATTTCGAGCTATTCTTCATCTACCGTTCATCATCGCTGGTTTCTGTTTTCAAATCTAGAATCCACGTACGCAATTAGCCGGTGAAGGTCGCCGGCAGCGGCGCCGGCCTCCACCGAGAAGGCGGCGCTTGCACTAGTCTCCCGTTGAGTAAACTTTTCCCCCCATTCTTGTTGCCTTTTTTTATATTTCAGGTTATGTTTCTTACAATTTGATTTTAGCATTTTTCGTATAAATCGTTCTGGTGGACTGATTTTTGTTTGATGAATGTGTGTAAGAAATTGAAATGTTTTTATGTACAATAGTCATGCAGTGGTTACAGTATGAGGTGGCTGACGATGTTTTTTTTTTCCCTAGCCTTGAGTGGGCGGAGCTTCCTAGAAATTAGCTGTATAAATATTGGTTCTTGAAACGAATACTCTCTCTCTCTCCAGTTTTTTTTTTTTTTTTTTAATAATTTGTATGGTAAATTACTCCTTCGCTGAATGGTTGTTTGTTTATATTCTTTTAATTCATTTTTTCTTATTATATTCTTTTTGAATGCAAGAGTAATCTGATTGTGTTTATCATTTTTGTTACAATTTCAATTTGCTGCTGTGTGGTGGTTCTTGTTTATGCTGCTTATTACAGTTTATGAATCTGCATGTAGTTGATAAGTGACTGTAAAGTTTATATGCTGGTTTTGTTAGTGGTGTGTTGGATGGGCTTTGGTTTTTTAGTATAAAGTTTCATAGATCAGTGATGAACATATGAGCTTGTGTGTGTAGTAAGCTGCATTTGTGAACTTGTGAATCATGGATATTGTTTGGCTGTGCGGTTTGCCAATGGATCATCAGTTTGCTGGCATTGTCAATACACCATATGGTAGTGTATCAAATGTCTTTTTTTCTCCTATTCTGTTTCCTTTTGTTTTTCTCCTGTTTACAATGTGTGAAGTTTGAGTGGATAGTCAAATATAATAACTTGATATATATGCCTAATGATCCAACATTCACAAATGCCCAATCACTGGTGTCCTGGAGACCGCTCGAGTGGTTTGTTTCTTACTGTAATTACGTGCATTATTTAGGGAAGAGAATCATGCATATGCACCGTTAGTATCTCGCGGAAAAAGCAATATATAGCGCCCCACTTGATTTCAGCAATTATTTCAGAAGACATAGCATTTAATTTTGAATGACAGCTATATTCCAGCGTATCAAGCTAAAGAAAACAGAGTATTATTCATTATGTCCAGGAAGAATATAAGCAATTGCAGCCTTATTTGAGAACTAACCAAAATTTAGGTTTAAGTTTCGAAAAAGTTGGTGAATGTTTGTCGATATATTTTAGCAATAAGATCAGTAACTCTTACTTATCAGCAATGTGAAACAGGACCATAGATATAGTTTAGTATGCATTAGAAAAGAAATGGAATCATATACCAGGATAGTCATCTGCAATAATTAAGCTAAGAGATGACGCAGAAGATATAAGGAAAAGAAAAAGAACAGAAAAAGAAAGAAAAATAAGCAACAAGAAGAACTGGTGTGTGATCCTGCTTTCTTGAAATGGCCTGCCTTCTTTTAGAAAGATGCCAGATGAATGCTGCAATATTGTTTTAACAATGGTAGTGAGTGCAGTCCATGGGCTCTTCTCATCATGGAAAGTGCTTTTTTTGCGACTGTGATTACTGTGCTAGTAATGGAAGGCAACTTAGTATTGATTTCCGTGACGACTAGTGAACACATAGTCAACTTGTAAATTGTAATTGTTAGTTCATGTACCGAACATGTTGAACCAAGGTATAATAGAACAGCTTTTTCAGATGATGGATAATAAGGAATTTAGTTATTTCCTTCCATGTTCATACATAATACTATCCTGGTAAAGGAGCATTAATGCTTTCCTTTTTCAAGCAATTCAGAATGATTTTTATTTCTGTGTTAGCACATAACACTAACGTACGTTTTGCATGTGTACTGTAGATGGCAGTCGTTTTACAAGCACAAGATGCAGTGGATTGGGCTTATAGAGGAGAAGGGGCTGTAAACTTGGTTCTTGCTTACATTGGAAGCTCGCCTGATTTTGTATGTCCTTTTTTCTTTTGATTTATTATGTCTATGATTTTTTGCTAGATCCTGAAATTATGTCCAGATTATTTGTCTCATAAAGTTTCAACTTGGCTGTCTGAAAAGTTATATGTGACCAATATCAGGAAAATGTTATGCTTTTCCTCTTAGCTTTTAATGCAAACTTGAATACTTGTTTGTTGGAATTATAAGCTTGTTGTAGTGACGTTGTGTGACTATTGAGTTTGAGAGTTTGATTAGTGTGGTTGTTTAATTAGACCTACGCATAATAATTCGTATTTCACCTCTCTGCTGAAAATAAGATCTATTTGGTTTGTTATTGATAAATGGTCCTGGATAGGAAAAGCTAGCTCTAAGAGAGAGGGTGCCCAACCCACACTTATATACATTAACAGCCCACTAACTAATCGATGTGGACAAAAATGAACTTATAACAGAAATATTTCTGCAAGTGAGATAGAAAACCAATGAAGCTGCTGCCTAATGTTTCCACTATTTTTTGTTGAGTTGGCTAGTGTGTAATTGGGGGTCCTTGTCATAGACCACGATGTTTATCCATTCTATTTTGAGTCGAAATAAGTTTTATTAGAGGGAAACATTTTTCTAGTACCTTTGAGTTAGTATCGATAATTGGTTGATGAAACGAAGTGTGAGAGGGAAGCAAAAGGTGTTTTCAGGAGTTAACACATAATATATATCTATATATATATGTATATGTATGTATGTATGTATGTGTGTGAGTGTTCCATTTCGGGAGGCAACTAATTTAGTGTCTGTCCAGAGAGAACCTTTATTTTAGAAGTATATATGAGTATGACAATGAAGCACCCTGAGAAGATGGTAGAAATGGTTAATCTGTGTGCTAGAATGAATTACTGATGGTTGTTATTATTATTATTATTATTATTATTACTTTTTTTTTTTTTTTT